CCCGGTATTGCCAGCCATCATGCTGACCGTCGACTGACCCAAGTTCAGACTTCCTTGATGATGGCACCGTCTGCTGCATCCTAGAAACAAGTGCACTATGCCTTTCCTTTGCCCTTATAGCTGCTATACATTATACTATGCTTGCGCCACTAGAAACAGCATCTGTAAATCAAGTGCTTCAGGTAGAGCTTTCCTGTTGTGTAAGAGAGTCCATGCTCATAGACCACCCTTTTCAGGTGATCTACGGATATTAGAGAGTTTCCGCATAACGTAATTACGTTAGTAAAAAACGTAGTCGATCTACGGAAAGTCTTACGTAAACTGCATGCGGATCTGGGTTCCGCCATACGGAGTTTTCAAATCGCGTAGCTGCCCTTGGCAACTCCGAACGCGGCAGTGTACGACCAGATCGACATGGGGAAAGAGTCATAAATTTGTACACAATCCATTAACGGACCAGCTACGTTATCAAAGCCCTATCTACGTACTCTCCGTAGACAACTTTCCGTAACTGGAGTGCAAACTCGCGAATTCACGGGTTTTTCCCGCCCACTAACGTAAAGTTGCTCAACTTTACGTAGTGCGGAACCTCTCTAATTCCCCTAGTTTGAGGGGATTATAGCTCATAATCCCCTCAAACGAGGGGATCTCATATCCACAGGAGATCCTGTGGATCCCATCGGACGGTGGGTCGGACCCAGTCCTTCTAAATAGGCCTTCCAGATAAGGTCTAAAAAGGGGAAGTGGCTATAGTTGTCAAAAGAAAAGCATATTGGTGAAACAAAACTAGGGAAGTGGCAATATTTCTATCAGCAACAAACAAGAGCATCTTAATTTGCAACATGCTACATGAACCGGGTGTGCCGAACACCGGTAACCATAGAGACACACTACACTCTCATATAGATACTGGTTATAAATAGACCGAGTAAGGAAAATAATCCAATAGCCTATGGAGAGTAAAGGAAATTGAGGTAATGACAACAAATGCTCGTCCAGCACACGAGTTGTCATAGAAACATTGAACGAAATGACAATGACGCATAGTAATGAGCATTGCCGTTCAATGCAAACTTTGGTTTCTAGTACAGTGTTTGGAAAATTCCTTCTTTCACAGACTTGAAATATAAATCTTTGCAGCAGTTAGCCTACTACTAACTCAATGTCATTGGTTCTACATGTACGTGTAGATGTACCCATTCACGCTCTACTGGTCTTGTCAAATTTGTTCCACACGATCACAAACAATCCATCTTATTTCGGATACTCTTACACCATTTGACTAAGCCATGGGACGGACGTCAGTGTCTGACAATTCTTCATTGTAGTCTTTGATTTGTAGGGAATAAATCGCCTCCACGACGGTAGGTGACAGACGAACAGAGCACCTCAAATAATTTTCAAATAATTACGATATATACTATTTCGTCGTCTTCACTTGATCGCTATCAGTATCGCTTTTCCCCACGGTCTTGTCAGCTACCAACAAGCAGCAGAGTTCATGAGGCTTCGTCTTGGGAGACAAACCAAAGAAAGTGTGTGACAATCCGCATTCGCCTCAGTCAAACCAATAAGTGGATCAAAACCTGGAGAGGCGACGAACAAACGACTATATCAGATTCGAGAACTACCGATACTTCGCGTTCGGTGTTCCGTTCACAGTGCACTGGTTCATGCTGCAGCGCAGCATGAACCAGGTCTATACAGGATATTGCACAGTGTCCGCGAGGATTATTTTTCATAATCCCCGCGGCCTTGGGGATTTGAAAAATAATCCCCTCGGAACCGTGCAATATCCTATACATACATGAGTAGGTGTGTGCATGTTTGGGAGTTTGCCGCAGCTCTCCAGACAGCCTGTGCTGGTGTTCTGGTACTATGCATGTGCATGGCTTGCTCATTGAAATCCATTCGCATCACTCAAGACTGAAGTACGCAACGGCCATGCCGCATCTGTGGCCCTGCGAAATCTGGGGTGCGAGATTGTGCATCACGCAAACTTTGGTGGCGCGACTGAACTTCATTGAGCAGCATTGTAGTTCACGACTCTTAGAAATTAGTTTGTTTCGTACTGATGCAGCCAGGAATATCTCTTAGGGCGCTGAGTTCACAATATCCTATACTTTCATAGCATGTGATGGGTTGCTACCCCATTGGCATTGACGCACGCATGCAACCACATGACACGTAGTTGACAGCATCTGAAACCACAAGCAAATACTTTGAGCTTCTGAGACCAATATGCACCGATCTGGGCTGTCAATCTACAATGCACCTGGCTCTTGACGGTCCAGTAGTAGTACAGTCAATCAGGCTGTCTACAGTGCAAACTGGTTAGCCGTACATGTGCATCATATTATGCCTACAAGCGAAGACATCATTCTATTTACCGGGTACTGATAATGTGTTCACGGTACGATCCGTACAACGGTCAACAAAGGCTAGCCTGCCATTGATCCGAAAACCTGTCAAGACTATGTCGATGACGCGCGTAAGCTGAGTGGGATTCTGTTAGGGAGTGCTATGTTTTCAACTCCATTGGTAGCTGAAACGGGCTGAGAGCGTACAACGGGAACTGTCCGAACACGACAACATGTGATGTGAGTTGCCGCGGTCGGCGGAGCGTACCCCATAGAAAAGGTAGTGGTATGTAGAGTTGCACACTGATGGGGCTTTGGCACTATTGCTAATACAGAGGGTGATTCGAAGCTAGAGCGTAGATCAAAGTACTCAAATAAATTATTGCGGCATCAAGGCACTGTAGGCACACTTTAACCCTTTTAACGACTGAACTCAATGTCTGTGGAAAAAAGTGACCTCCATGTTTCTTTAACTTGAATTGGACGCAGCTATGGTTTCCCTGGGAACATGTACAGTATAATTATTGGGAATTCGGGAAAGCCCCGGAAGAGAGTAACACTGTGGACTCAAAATCGAGCACACGAGTTTTGCTGGACATGCTCTCCAAGCCAGCAAAATTATATCAGTGCCGCGCTTGCGCTCTAGATCAATATCCATCTGCCACCTCACTTCCCATGCTCGTATGAAGCTGGATACTTTTTGTAGGCAATCACGGGAATCTCTGTTTGAATTTGAATGACTGGATCCTTGCCTACAGCCTAGGAGTTTAGGGGAAATCCCGGTCGTTCAGTCACGCATTGTAGCCCTGAGCGCCAAATTACGATGACGAAAGTTACAGGCGTCGTAAAGCACTCACCATTCATCGTATCCCTTCGATGATTGTTGGAGTCGACAGCTAAAGACTAGTAAGAGTTTTCACTTCTTCCTACATATCTTGTTCTGTAAAAACGACTTATGCCATCATTTTGAACTACTTGTAGACGCAGTAGAGATCATCCCAGAATAGTGAGACTGTGCACACGCAGCGCTGAATCTCACAGCGTCCCCACAAGGTAGAATAGACGGCAAGGACAATTCTGGCCCGAGAAATACAACCTCGTGAATAATGTAGCGCCGCGTTCTAGCCCACCGACTAGTATTTGTAGTGCTAGGCAGCACCCGGTCGAATATTATTCATGAGCCTACGGTTAGATGTCTAATCGCTTCGTTACAGCAGCATTTGAGGACATTACCGAAAAGCATCACTTCAGTAATGGCCGAAAAGGTAGCGAGATGTTTCCAAGAGTCACTGGAAATGAGGAATCACACGTTGGTTTCGAACTGCGCGAAGAATCTGCGACGCCTGAATGCCTCTTCATTGTCCATCGAGGCAGGCAAGTTGGACAGCCATATAGATAAATCCGGAAAGCTACATCGTCCCGGTGAAAAAATATATCCCCGGGAGGCGTCTTTCGCTTGCCAGTGTGTGCTGAACACACCCCGTTATTTGTGCTTTTGTCCTTTTTTTGCTTTTGCTTTTCGAATTCTTTCGCCTCACGATGGCACCATCGCTAATTATTTTGTTTGTTTTTGTTATTGAATATAGTTCTGAAGACGTTGGTGCTACTTCGGCGATAGTAGGGGAAGAGTGTGTTGCTCCCTACATGGGAGCTCGCGGTTTTCCTGCCGACTTGGACGGTTCCATGGACCTCTCGTGTGCTCTGGATGGCAGTCGTGAGTCAGTCAAGTGACTGTGGTTCGTAGTAGAACAACGTACAACATCAACTTCAAAGAGTGTCGAACAGGAAACAACAACATGTCGAATAACGAAAAAATCACAGGAAAGAAAACATCAATATAGAATGAATAGAGGAGGGCACATAACGTTACCACCATAAGGACCACTTCATGCTCTAGACATCATCCGGCAATCCTTCACAAAACTGTATTGACGTGACCGGTATGATGACAGAGAGCCACGCAGGCACTACTTGTAGATCTACTACTGTCGTGGACTTCGAAATCGGGTCGCTCGTCTAACTGCCCAAGCGCGCTGACCATGCCGCCGTGGGTACTGCACACATACTTAGGTCTACGCAAGGCAGCTCGCTGGTCGCATATGACTGTGCAACGTTCTCTACGCGCTGAGGGTGCCAGCTCCTGTCAATCGACTGGATTTCCATGTCCAGGACAGTAATTGTAGGTCTACATTGTACTCTAGATCTACTACCAGTACTAGTAAGTAGTAGTAGATCTCCTAGTACTAGTAGTAGTAGTAGCCAGCATTGTGGCGATGGGCCCACGATAGCCACTGCGCTCAGCCAGCACTGCACTGCACACTGCGGACACTGAGTCTGTAGACTCCAGTCTAGTGCAGATTGCAGTGCAACCTCGGACAAGACACGAGATTGTGCGATCTCCGCCCAAGTGAGAAAGTCTAGTACTAAACTCAGGGATCACATCTCGCAGCGGCCTCCTTGGCACCTTGACCTGTCAGCTCGCACTCGGTATGGGCAGGTGGCATAGTCTGTCACTCTGGTCTATGCATAGTTCCAGTACGAGCGTACTGATCTACTGATCTGCTGTGTAATTTGTTTGGCACGAAGTGTAGGGAGCGGCCGGCAATGCACCGTGGCGCTGAATCCTCATCTCCGCTTCATTACTCAGATTGGTGAACGGAAGATGATTATTTTTGAATTGAACGTTTGCAAAGGTTTCTCATAAATAAAGGCGGTGCTAATTGTTCAGACCGGGAGTAGCAGGGTCCTTCCGGGGAGGCTGAGGCTGTGAGGTGTCTTCGACTTCAGCGGTAAGGCATAGGTATTCGCTTGCACTTTGTCCTCTTTGGTTGCTTCACCACCTGCCCCTCGAATCCATTCATTGCAATTTTATTTCCGCGAACGGCAACAACCATTTTTACGAGTATGTGGTGTTTGGGACCGTTGTGTGGAATTGATAGCAAAGCGTTGTTTGCAGTCTCTTCAGCTACCGCTTAGAGTTTGTTCGGACAGCCTGAAAAAGTATATTTTTGTTCGTTACGCTGACACGTTTACCTTCACACTCGATGTGATGTTGATTTCTCGACCTGGAAACCAGCCACCCGGTATACGTTAGGTCTAAGTAGGGTAGCATTTTCTTCGGGTATCGGGTTCCAGTAGTTTTCCACTTATATCACGGCTATCCGATCGGGTAATGTTCCCATCAAAACAGCACAATGCACCCGTTCCCTTACACCCTGGGTAGACCTTCGGAGTGTTTACATGAATGTGTACACATGCACTGTAACGTCACGTAACGTCATCTGCGACTTCGGGTTTTCGGGTACTATGCACCCGTGTACCAGAAGTTCTCACGGGTAGCACGGGTACCCGACTACCCGTGTAGACCACTACTATAATTATATAATGTCGTGGCCGTTCTTGACGGACACATACTTGGTCGTCCCATGAGGTGGGCTGGTTGACAAATCTTTCGAAAACTGAATTACGCAGGCATCTAAATTAATATAAGCTCTGCACACTGAAATGGAGCAGAGAATGAGCAACTGCAGACATTTATCCCCGATGTCTGTGTGTAGTTGGTGGTGGTGGTCCTTTCCGTCGTAGATGGAGCTGCTTGGTCAACACCCTCGCTTTGCTCGACATTTGTTTTATTTTGGGCTTCATGTGTATTAAAACGTTTCTTCAGAATTCACAAACTCCATTGCAGCGTATTCTTTGCACTTGAAAACACCGCCATTCCGGCAACAGGCTCTCAGCTGCACCAAATAAATAACTTTGCCAATATTTCGCCCATTGGGCATCATCAGTGCCCTGGTGATGCCCAATGGGCGAAATATTGGTAAAGTTATTTATTTGGTGCAGCTGAGAGCCTGTTGCCGGAATGGCGGTGTTTTCAAGTTCATGTGTATTATTCACTTTTAAATTGTTGTCTTCTACAATACAAGGACCTGTACCTGATATCAATACAGAAAATATGTTTCGATCCGTTTGAATACGGCGTATGATGACCAATATACGAGGAACAGGGCAGGCCCTGAGCTGGCAGCTACATGTGCCACCACTTTCTAAACGTACATGTATCTCGTTCCGTAGCATTATGCTGTGGCTCTGCTTGTGTACAGCAAGGCCGTGGGCCAACTATGATATCACATGTTACTCTGTATTCGTCACCTGTGTGTATAGCACTATTTGGGACTTTGTGAATTTCCACATGTTGCTTCTTCAATAATACAAGTGTGCGGTATGAGACATAAGCAGGATAGTGTATGTTTGCTGCTACTCTTCACTCCCACGTGTTTGTTGCAGATACAACAAAACTTGTCAGTCGCGTTACATAAGCGAATTGAACTAAAAGTATACAACAACATGAGAATATAATATATGGCACATACGCAGTCTGATGATTTACTAGCGGCATGAAACTCAGAGTTACAACCAACCTGAACGTCCTCCGCTGAGTCTGCTATTTGGCAAATTCATACATAGTCAATAAGGAATTATGGACCCTGTTTTCTAGCCAGATGCCCAAATTTGTAATGTCTTTACATACCTAAGGCAATGGACCCTTCTGGCCACTGGCTAGTGTGCAAGATGCTACAAATTGTACTGGGACCTGAGCAGCAACTTTGTTGAACTTGAACTGCAAAGTGATCAGGAGGCTGCTCCATGGCATACAATTTCCAGTATCCAGGAGGCCTGCTAGCCAATATGGTCAAAATCTTTGCGGTGGTCTCACTGCACACCCTGTAGGCGTCTGCTGCACTTTCGGCCCAAGAGTAGATAAACCCAAATATTCTGAAAATCTCAATGGCGAGGTACTGTGGAGTGCCGTTTTTGAGAGTGCAGGAGCGGGGGGGGGGGGGGGGGGGGTTATGCAGGAAAATAAGCAACACACAATCTTGTGAGTGGCTCCTGGAAAAAAGCATTTGCAAAAGATGAGTCACTCACAATCCACAACATGGAGCACAGAAAAAGCATGTTGTGGTTCCAATATGCAACAACATAATTATGTGTCGTTGTTTCGCATTCCCTCTCAGGATGAAACACATATCCCTGCTAAGTTGTTCATTCTCCACTTGCTATGACCCATTGACTTTTTACATGTTCCTGGTATAGAACGTGTCAATTAGAATTCGTGCTTGCCTGCCTACTCGTGTGCACGCATGCATTCTTGCCGGAAATGTCTACTTGTGGCTTAAATAATTTATTCATGGACTGATCTTCTTTTTTAGTGTTTGCACACTCTTGCCTGCTGCTGTGGCACTTTTGCATTTTCGTACTGCTGCGCTCTGTACGGCTGCACTAGCTGTATTAACTGTCGTACCCAGATGCACACATTCAATCCCAGGCTTCGCTTTGGAATTGTTTTCGTTGCCTATGTCCTCATCTCTCTTCGTTTTGTTTTCGCTGCCTGGGCTCTCAATTATCTTTGCTTGGTTGCTTGCTTGTATTGCCGAGGGAACATATGCTGGTTTGTATTCGTGGGTCCCCATGGTGCATGGGCCACGCGTACTCATCCGGCGGATATGTGTGAATAATAATAATAATAATAACACATTACTGAATGTATATAAATTATTGATTTGGCATGGTTGTTCTTCAGTCACGGCTTTCCACTGATGATTGTGACAAGAAAATCGATTTTGGTAAACCTTCATGACTTTGTTGTAGTATGGCGATGACAGCAGAATTTGTTCTCTTTATAGCTATTATAAAATTGTTGTCTCCGCGTCGATTATTTACAATAATAATAAAAATAATAAATCGAATTCGGCACAACAAGCGAATGCTACTTGCGGGCCGTCTCTGTAGAGCAAGTGGGCTACTGAGAATTTGTTAAATCTACAGTTGAAATTTCTGCCATTGTGTTTGTACTCCAGTCCAGGAAGAAGTGGTACACCATGGGTCACCTTGGGATATACCTTTTTGCATTGGTGTTGATCAGTGCAAGTTGGCTGCAGATAGATGCCCAGTCCTATGTGTGTAAGTTTGAATGTTGTTTCAGAGGTTTTGCACCAAACCAAATTTTGCAGGACTTTTCACGCTGTGACTGAATTTATACGAATGAACTTTGAAATATAGTGAGTGTGTTCGCTCCGAAGAAGCGTACAGTTGTTCAGTTGTTGGGAAATATTCTGGAGTAGACCGCACCAAAATGTCTTCTGTTTCGGGTAACCCGATCTACCGATGTTTTCAGCGCCGACTGGCCTTTTTTGTATGCAGCATAGATCCTATGAGTGTGAACACATACTTTTAAACTGGTTTTCCAAGGATGTACTCAGATAAACTATTTGTGCACCAGGCCCGTCACAAACTGTAATTTACATTATCACATGGCACGTGATTGTTGCCCGTACTACAGAGAATCAGCACCTTTCCCGCTGGGGGCAATAATATGCGATATTGCCTGCAAAAATAAAGTTCTTTGCCCGCCAAAAAATTGTTTATTTCAATGATCCCGTGACTACGATCGTATGAGTGGTACGACTCTGCTGCACTGAGCTTTTCGAGTCGAAGTGTAGATGTCTACTATCGAGACGAGGATGGATTTATTTTTGGAAATGGACATGGCCTCCAACTCCTGCCGGGTGGTGGTTGCAGGGATCATTTGTTCAGTCATGTTGACAGCTTGACTGTCGGTAAGCTTGTGGATAGGAGTCAGTTCTCCTGGATGTGGTACTGCGAGCACAAGCAATTATTTGAATTCGGACATATTCAACTCAGCATCGTGCGTACAGAATTGTATTCAAATCCTCGCAAAGTGCCTAGAGCCGGTTTGTGATCTTCCTGTGCCACGAGAAACTCTGACCAGGCTCATCTATCCTCTGCCTTCAACTTTGCTTTAACAACGAACACAACAATTCAGGAATGTTTGCAATGAAAAAAATACAGCTAGCTGGAGCTGAAAAAGGAAACAAATTGTGCTCAGAATTACACACCAGGGCTATTGAGTCGTCAAATACTTCCATGCAGTACTGTATTTGATGACTTTCTGGTACACATACATGTACATGTGAACAAACAATATCTTGTAACTGTGGTACATGTAAACAAGAAGAAACTCTTCGTTCTAGCATTCTTAATTTTTTTCAACTGAAATGATGATTCTGCTGTGTAGTTGCCATGTCTATTGCTATGAGGATGCCGTGCCAGCTCTTTTTTGTCTCCGTTTCAGTTTTGTATAATCTCTGATGACCTGTAGCAGACTTTTAGGTGGCGAAGAAATATCTTCATTTTTCCTGTTTTGATAATGATAGCACATCAACGAGAGAGCTTGGAAGCTCAGGGCCCTACGCTATGCTTTTTTGCCTTGATGACCTAGACAAAAAAATCATAGGGATGATATAAATTCTTTAAAAAAATCCTTTTTTTTTAAGACATAACCTGGGATTCGAACCCGCACTATCGCGCGCCCTGCATGCATCCCCAGATACACTTCACATACATACTAATTCTTCCAAGTTGTTTCACATTGTGATCTTGCATTTGAAAATCCTATTTGAATATGCATTGTGGCCAGCCGTCTTTGATGGCACGGTACGGTAGGGGATAGGTACGGGGCAGGTACGATCGAGGGTAATACGACACCGTCTCCCGTACCGTACCGTACCACCAAACACAGCTGGCCACATACAGCTGCCCGCAATATTCAAATAGGGCTTTCAAACGCAAGATAATAACGTGAAGCAACTTGGAAGAATGGGTATGGATGCGAAGTGTATGGGGGAATGCATGTAGGGCGATAGTGCGGGTTCGAATCCCAGGATATGCCTATAATAAAATAGGAGAATTGAAAAATGTATAACATCCTATGCTTTTTTGCCGTCAGATACGGATAGCGCCAGGCGTGACAGAAACAAACACACAAACAAACTAGTGCTGAAACGATTATATCGATTACTCGTTACTTACTCGATAAGAAATATATCGAACGGTTATTTCGATTTTATCGGCTAAACGAGTAGAATGGTACTTACGCTCGGTGCGGGATTTCCCCCCCCCCCTTTTGGGGATCGCACAAAGCGTGCATGCATCGAAAGTGTTGCGAGTCCGACACGAATATGTACATGACTGTACACTTGCAACATCGATGTACGTGTAAAGTACAAGCGCGATCTGAGAAACATCGACGCGATCACCGTTGCCGTCTTTTGAGCTGACTACTTTTCTTACATACAGCATGCAGGACTGGCAGGCTCGGTATGTGTCTACACTAGCTGCAGGGGCTGGAGTTCCCTCCACGTGCGAGTAGTCTTGAGCTAAAGACAGTAAAGTGGTCTTCAGTTTCATGTTTTCCGTTCTGTCAACGGTTCCCGAACCAGTTTGCTCGACGACGAGCTAGGCCTGGCGTCTGGGCCTATTTTGAGCATAGACAGGAAAACCAACTACAGTCAACTTCGCTAATAACGACTTCGGATATAACGACAATTCGCGAATAACGACAGCATTTCCATGCCCAGAGCAAAGTCCCATCTGACTGTATACATTTAACTTCGGATATAACGACTATCTGAATAACGACAATTAGCGAATAGCGACATGATTTTAGTGCCCCGAGGTCATATTCACTGCTTGAATAACGACTTTCTGGCTTTTTGACAGCTATTTCAAGTACCTGTCAAGTGTTATGCAGAAGTACCAGAACCCGTGGCGATGGATAAGGCACACATACAAGAAGATGCAGCCAGGGGGGGGGGGGGGGGGGTCTTTTTCTTTTTCTTTTCTTCAAAATAGTGGGAATGATCAGCGCACCTATGTTGTACATGATTGCACATTAATCTTCATACATGTACATGAACATGTCCCTGCAGATGGCTCCAAAAGGTTGATTTTTCGATTTATTTCCCTTGGATATTGACTTTATTGTTCCTTTCAATTGCAATACGAAAATAAAGTTCAAATTGACGTAGAGCATGAAAAGAGCTTCATTTCGATATGCTTGTCATACTATACAAAATATGGGTTCACATACATTCAAATGGGACTTCGGATATAACGACACTTCGCGAATAAGGCCACTTTTATGATGCCCCGCCGAATGTCGTTATTCGCAAAGTTGACTGTAGTTGCTTGTTGGTGCGCCTCAAGTCAGCTCATCCGTCAAAATCCGCCGATCTGCACCCCTGGCCGGCTTCTCTGACTTCATCGTCGGAGTCAGCGAAGTCACAGGCAAAAGGCACCATCAGCTCTTGGGTTGCAACCAGTGAGTTGCCTCTGTCTTGTCTGTATTCGTCTGGTCAGTCCGAACAGCTGACGGACTTGTTGCGGGATCATCGGATCTGTGCGCCCGCTTTCCGTCGTTGGCGATGTTAGACTCGTTATTTTTTTGAAATTCACAGAATGTACATTTTACTGATGTAGTTACAGGGTACCTCACTTCAAACTGTCCAACTACGGTCTCTTCGCTGCATAGGTTCACTTCACTTCCAAAAATAAAAAATTAGATATACAGTCAAATCTGCCGTTAGCGACCTCTGCTGTAGGCGACCATCTACCGTTAGCGACCGATTTTCCGTGCACCGACGGTTTCACATACAAACTGATCTGTCCAGAGCGACCATCTGCTGTGCGCGACCAGCGACCGCGATTTCATGCACGGTGGCTGCATTCAAATCTGCTGTAAGCGACCGCGACCCAGGTTCAGTAAGGTGCGAAACTGTACCTGCCAGTGCGCTGTCAACTGCAAAGTGTGAAAATGCGCTGTCTTGCAAGTGCGATCGACTGGCGCCTGGCCTGTACTGAGGCTGTGCTGTAGCTCTCGACTCAAGTCCAGGCAGTAGTGTCGATCTACTGTCGCATACGCGTACTATAGTATACGGGTATGGTCGTCGTTGAATATCCGATAAAATGATATTAAAAATTACATTATTCTCGTCGATTTGAGTACATGGAAGCATATACCTGGTATGCCGGATTTACCATACATCTGCCGTAAGAGAACATCTGCCGTAAGCGACCGCTTTTTCTTGCACCAAGGGGCGGTCGCTTACGACAGATTTGACTGTAAATGGAATGCACCAAATTTTCGGGCATGGCCCATCTTCAGGGTGAAAAACCATTCCAAAAGGGAACCGTTGAATGGTTTTTCACCCTGAAGATGGGCAATGCCCGAAAATTTGGTGCATTCCATTTATATCTAATTTTTTTTTTTTGGAAGTGAAGTGAACCTATGCAGCGAAGAGACCGTAGTTGGAGAGTTTGAAGTGAGGTACCCTGTAATGTGTGAGTGGCTGCAATGGAGTCTGCGAGTGCTTAGAAATGTTTATACTGATGTAGTTACTATAATCGTTTAGCCGATAAGCCGATCGTTATGGTATCAGCTAAGCCACTAAGGAAAAAACGTAATCGTTTCAGCACTAAAACAAACAAATACCAAATTATAGCTGTGTGGACCCTGGCTAGCGCCAGACGTTACTGAAGTAACGTCTTCTGCATAGCTACGGGAATAATATACATTGTGGTCATAATGTGCTGGCATTTGGGCTAGTTTCAACAGCAGACCAATGGTCTGTTCTATGGGCCATGTGATAAATTTGTTATCATAATAATTCATATAATTGTCCCGAGAGGTTAGCCCAACGGCCGTAGGCCCGAGGGCTAACCGGTGGGGGCGATTATATACCATAAGGGCCACGCCACCATGCGATAACATATACTTACAGTTTGTCGTGCTAGAGTGTGATTATGCCATTTGGCGTATTCAAATGGGTTTTGCACCGGACAGAAGAGAATAAGGGCGCGTTTGGTTGGTAAGACGCAAAACAGGATCCACCAGTACAGTGCGTTTGGTTGGGACTGCACCGGTGCTGGGTCGGCCAGAACATGTTCTGCTTGCTCCTGCCTCGAGGCCGGAGCAGACCGAGCAGTTTCACTTTTTTTTGAGCATCGATTTTAGTGCCAAATGATCATGTGCATACGCTTTTGGGTTGGATTCGTTGTACCGTACAAAGTGGCCAAAGTGACCCATACAGATTTTGAAGAAT